CGCTCCCCCCTACCCGCCCCGCCGCCGGTCCCGCGCCTCAGGTGAGGCCCGGCCGCCCCCTTCCCGGTGCGGAGCCGCCGGCGCGGCGCGCAGGGCAGACATGGCCGCAGGCCGCGCCCGGGAGCTCGGTGTCTGCACGGGCTGAGGCGCGCTGCGAAAGCTGCTCTTGGGTTTCGCTCTAAGGGACGGGACAGAAAGCCGCGAAATGGACGATTTCCACTCCATCTGCCTGCTCTCGCTGGCCATGCTGGTTGCCTGTTATGTGGCGGGGATTATCCCGCTGGCAGTTAACTTTTCAGAGGTAAGATAGCTTCACCGGGTGCTAGTTGGCTGCTGAGAAAGAAAAGCAGGCATTAAGTGCAAAATAAACCAGGAGGTGCCATTGCTGTCCCCTTTCAACTATGGCTGTGCTCTTGTAGGTGCTCTTGTAACTTAAAAAAAGTTTTCTAAGGGAAACACAAGTAAGTGCTCACTGAATCACAGTGTGAAGTTTGCTCAAAATGTATGTAAAATCACTTAAAGGTATCAATCTCTTCAAGTTTCTTAGCTGCAAGTACGGCAAAGCCTTAGCGTGTGGCTGAAGACTGAGAGAGTAGTTGCACATGGGTATTCTTTTAAGTGGTTTGTGTTGGAAACTTTTGAAGTTAGAAGTTAACTTTTACTATGTGATCATGGAGACTAGGTCAGGGCTTCTAAACCAGTTCTGAAAATGTTCTCAGAAAATTGGTTTTGGTTAAATGTTTTCTTCATACTCTGTGCTACCCCCTAGATAAAAAAATAAGTTTGTTAATTACAGAGAAAAACTCAAGTCATGTTAATATCCCTGGCAAATCAAAGTGTTCTTTTGGAATATACTTAGGATTAGTCCTAAGCTACTGTTTAAAGAGAGGAAAACTGCTGAGATCAAATGTGGTTCCAGCTGGTACAAGGATTCATGAGCAAAATTGTTTTTTGAGAGGTGACATTGTCATTGCTAGAGTGTCATGAAGTCTCAGAATGTCCTCTGAGGCCTAGAGGGTTCTGTTTTTTTTGTTTTGTTTCTTCAGACTGTTGACTGTCCCAATAGATGGGCAAGTTCAATTATTTTGAAGTATTAAGAGCCCGGTTTCTCATTTCTACTGGATACAATAATGTTCTTGGAAAGGGAGCTGTTGGGAAGAAATGTGACCTGTTCCCCATCATATCCCACCTGGAACCTGTCTGTTAGTGTCATGATAACTAGTGCCTTGGAGGCTCTGGGGATTTGCAAACAGCATGAAAGGATATGCAGTTCCTTTTTGTCACAGCTTGGTTCAAGTGAACAAATTGAAACGTGATAATATTTTGTGAGCTTTCTCTACCTTCTTTAACCTTTTATAACTCACTCTTGCCCTGATGCCTAGAAAGGACTGTCTTGTAAAATCACCTTTTTTTAAAAAAGTTTTTTTTTTTTTTTGTTTTCAAAAGCTACTTGCTGTTTCCTTTTACATGAGTGCAAGTTGTGTGGAAATGGTGTTGAGGTGTTTATATGGTTTATAGGTTCCTGTACAGTCAAACAGAGGATTCTTAAATCACCTGTGGCTCCTGACAGCTTCAGGAAGCTAAATCCATTGTAAAAAACTTTGTGGAACCAAAAATACAGTGCTTTGCATAAGCAGTAATCAAATTGACGTGCAATATCTGCAATGTTTGTAAATCTGTGTACAGTTTGTAAAGTAAGTTTGCTGGAGTATTTTAAACTCTCTGAATTTCTTGATTCAATTTTTCCCTTAAAGTAAATTTTGTAAGGACATATATATTCTGATTAAAAAGAGAAACTGAACCTTTTTAGTTCAAATAGATTTGTGCAAATAGTATCTAATCTTGAGAATACCTAATCAGCAGTTAAAATTGTTTTGTTTAAATTTGACTAAGCATTTGCAGTGTGGATCACTTTAAACTGAAATGACTGTTTGGACAGCATATTCTCTGCTTTGCTGAACATCTTGTAACATCTTATAGTGAATAAAAGAATGCCTTGAAAGGACATTTCTTGTAGGGGCTGAAGTAGGAAATAAAAACAAATGAGGAAGGGAATTGAAATATTTACTAATGTTAAAGCATTTCTTCTTTTTTTAGCCCCCCTCCCCCTGTGGAAGCTGTTGTTTGTCTTTTGATTTTTGTCTTTTTTTTTTCTTCCCCCTTTTAATTAGATTTGAATATTCTTAAAAATATGAAGCTCCAATATAGCCAAGTGTTTGTACGAAAAAGACACAGACTAAGCAGAGTTTCACTTCATTCATGCAGATACGGATCCATTCCCCTTAGTCCTGACTTGCAATACCCTTCTAGGCTAGCCTAGGGCCAGGAACCAGGCTGTGCCAGTTTTTGCAGCTCTCTGTTAAGCTGCAGCTGAAAAGCCAAAAATTAAAAGGTCTAGAAGTTTGGATTCTTTGAGTGTCTAACAAACACCTGTGATGTTGGCTTAAGTGGAACTGTTGGCTACTGAAAATAGGTGAAATTCCCTGCTGGTGGGTGTCAGAGTTTTGATGCTCTGCGATTCTAAGGCAAGATTCTGACAAAACACTGAGCTATGGAACATCTTGGCAGTTTGAAAGGATGGATTTTCTTTTGGAATAGAAATTTAAGATGTTTTCTTATAAGATTTTCCACACTATTTATTCTGTTGATGTGTTTTTCATGAGACACGCCAGTGTTTTGGCAACTAAGTGTTTTTTTTGTAAAATATTCAATTTCCTGGACCAGGCTAAATGACTTTCACCCATCTGGGTAGACTGCCATTATTAGATTGCTATATTCATCATCTCTAAGCAGGCTGACTCTTGTTGAAATAGTAATTTGTTAGTGTGTCATTTTCATGCTTAAAAAGTAAAGAAATCACAGATGTCCAAATTAAAGCAAGCAACATTTGCAGTCATAGTAAAAGAGTGTTACTTGTGACATTTTGGTTTTGGCAGTTTGTGTGTGTATTATATGTATTGTATGTAAAATACGTATTGTATAGAATAAGAGATTATAGTGTTGCAGTATAGAATTATCTACTTCAGTGAGATTTCTTCAACTTGAATTGTTAGAGTGCATGAAGGAAAGCAGAGGACATAATAAGGTGGTTTGCTGTGAGTGATTTCCTTTTACTCGGACACTGCCCCTGAGGTCCTCAGTAGTTAATGCCGCGCTCTGGGTAGCGCCCACATCTCATTGCACATTTGAGATGATGATGATTCTGCCCCGAAGTAGGTGATACACAGTTGTTATCAAGAACTTCAAGAGGTACTAGGTGATACGATATGGGCTGTTGCAGAAGGTATCCTCTGGAGGGGAGGAAGCTTGCCATATGAAGCAAGTTGCTGTACTTTAGGTACCATTAGATGTTTGTGTAATTGCATTTTCAATGCATGACTTTGACCTTAGCCTGTCAGTGTTGTAATCACAAGCAAACAAAAGCTAATAATGAATTCTTCTCGTATAAGGAAAAGTAGAATTTAGTCAAGAAGTTCTGCAATCGGGGGGATAGTTATGTTTCTCTAGGCTTTTTGTCCAAAATGTAGTGCTTTTTCAGAAAGGTAATCCTTACTATTATTTTTCCCCTATGGAATCTTTCCTTTGCTCCTGTAGTCCTAAAACTTCTTTCTTAGTCTTTCTCTATGATATAGCTGACTTAGCAGTTCATACTCATACTCGGCCAATGTATTATAGGTACATTTTTATTATCAGTTCTCTTGTCTTTCAGTATTTTCATTCATTTAGCTTTCTTGCATATACTCTGATTATATAGATGGGAATTTGGGGGGAGCAGGCAGTTTGTCTTGTGTGATGCCATACCTAGCAGAAGCTTTGAGAAACTGGCTTTTTTTTTTTTAATATAATTTCCAGTAGGAAGAGTGTATTTGATCACAAACCCAAAAGGAAAATTAAAAAGTAGAATTAAAAACATTATCCCAGATTCAAGCACACTCAATCTTTCTTTACCTGTGTAGGCCTTGCAATTGGAGCACTACAGGATGAATTAGCCCCAAATTAATGGCAACTATAACAATCCTGGCTTTTTTTCGCATGTGTCATATATCATTTCTTGCCTGATGATAACAATCAAGTCCTGTTTAATCTTCACTTTCTACTTTGATCATTTGCGCCAGAAGTTATGGACATGTTCTCATTAGAAATCTAATAATTAAAAATAAAGAACTGAAACTGGGGCTTTTGAATAAAAATTATGTGGGGGTATTGTGGATTACAGCCCCTCCTTGTCCCTGTACTCTCCTGCTCTTCATTTAAGGTTTAGTAATGGGGGAAAGTAGAGGAGGATTTTTTGTAATTCTTGAAGATGATACTTATTTTATGCTTGCTTGCAGGAGAGGTTAAAGTTGGTCACTGTTTTGGGTGCTGGGCTGCTGTGTGGAACTGCCCTGGCTGTCATTGTGCCAGAAGGAGTACATGCACTTTATGAAGACATTTTGGAGGGTAAGAACTAAAGCTATGTCTGTGGATGCTTTTGTTCAAGATAACTTAGGTTGTGGTGTGATGATGCACCTGCGCCTGTTTCTAGCCCATTTAGGATGGGCTGGGCGAGCAAGGGGCCACAGCAGCATGATGCAAAGCCAGTGTAAAATTGCAAAACTTTCAGAAGCACAATACTGTACATTAATGGTGATTTGACAAATAAACATGGTCATGCTGTGGAATAGCTACTCCCAAGTGATCCAGTCACTTGCAGGTCCGGTGTTGGTGGCCTTTTATGCCACGTCATGTGTACTGCTCTGTAAAGTTAAAATTTAACTCTCACTGGAAATTCAGACAAGGTGCATGGAGATGCCTTTGGGAGAAGGTCATCTTGTGGGTTATGTGCTGTTGCTTTCTGTGGCCACATAGAGGTGGAGTGCATTCCTGTTTGGAGTGGCGGCGTCCGCTGTAGGTCAGTCTTGTATGGGCATGAGGTACCAACTTCCCCTACCCAGTTCTCATCTGCTGCCACCAGCTTTTCAGATAGTTTTCCACTAATGAATAGTTTAAAGATAATGGAGGTAACATGTCCTGCAGGAGCATCAGCATGGGACACGTACCTAAAAGTCTTGGTAAACCTACTTATTTTTAATAGTCTTGGCTCATTAGCTCTGTTAGAGTGCACTTTAATTAGTAAAATTATTAGTGTAATAATTAAATCTGGAGTGTTAGTGCTATTACATTACCATTGCACAGGAAACATTTTTCAATATGGTTAAAATCATGAAAGTAAACATCAAGCACTTACTGATCTTGAAGGGGAAAGACTAGTAAAATTGAGGCTGTAGAGAACTTTGCAAATGTGTCATTGTTTGTAATCTTGATAGAAAGACATAATCTTCAAAGTAGTTTTGCCATTTTTTTGTTTCTACATATTTTCAACGTATATATGTTTATTTATAAAAATATAGTTTTTCTAATGTAGGCTTTATTTTAGCCACCTTTAATATCCACTGGTTTTATGTTGTTCTGGTTACATTTAAAGTAATCAGAAGATAATAAATAAAATCATCCATAATTAGAAGTGTGAAAGAACCTCTGATTTTTTTTTTTTACATTATTGTAATTTGTGCATTCTCTAGGAAGATCTCTAATGAGCTGTAGTTGTGGGTTTGATCTTCATTCCATTTTAATTCTAAGTAGACTGCATTCTTCTTCTTCTAATGATACGGTTATCAGTAAATGCAGTTACTGAGAACTGTATATTTTTTCATTAAATGTGGTATGCAGTTCATGTTTTACATCTACATCCAGCTTAAAAACAAACTATTAAGTTATATAGCATTTATATTTGAAGAGAAAAGGTACTTCTCATTAGTGTAGTAGTAAAGTCAGATATAGGTATCTGTGCAAACCTACTTTGTTCTAAGGGAACTTCAGATGTTTGATTTCCTAACTGAATCTCCTCACTAAAACCATTCCGTCTGTAAATAAAGGTTTAAGTTAACATTGAGAATGATCTTTTTTGGGTAATTCTATTTTCTGATGTTCTACTTGAAGGAGAGACATCTCTTATTTCAGAGAGAGAAAATTTGTAGCTATTGCAGATTTAACTACAAAATTATTTAAATGTTTTTCTTACAGAGGTAAAGTATTCAAGGTTAAGCTTAATGCTCAGAACTTCATAGTTTTTGGGATGTTTGCAACTTCACCCATTCATGTAAATTAAATCTGGACAATTATCCAAGGAGACACTGAGGCTTAAGCCTGAATGTAGTGTATAGTAAAAAAGGCCTTCCAAGAATATGTTTCTGTGTCTTGTTAAGAGAAGGAAAACTTAGATTTGATTCTGTGCTTGTATTGGGTGGAAATTACTGCAACTTGGCTGTTTTTAAAAATCTCTTTCATGTGAATATACTAAGGCAGCTCTCCCCAGTCTTTGATCAATTCTAAAAAAGGCTGTGTCCTTGTAGATGTTGTTGCGCTGTGTGTCAGACTGGATTGCAAGAGGAGTAGGTTCCCAACTGGCACGAGCCAGCATGGAGGTTTTGGGGATGTTGCTTGGGGGCCATTAGGTAAAAGACTACTGGGAATGATAAATATGCGTTCCAGTAAAGCCTTTCTCTTCAAACACATATAAGTTCAGCTGTACGGTCGTTAGTGAGCTTCTGATGGCTCATGACTAAAAGTATAAAGATCAAACTAAAGCAAATGACAACCTGTTAAAGTTAGTAAAACTGCATTATATCTCTATTTTCTAAGAGTCATTGTAGGTAGAGACATTTGTCAGTATTACTAACCTATGAAATATTTGATTAAAAAAAAATTGTTTGCTGAAGATGTATGGGAAGGGCAAACAAAAGGGGGTCAACCAAGCAAATGCATGCTGCCTAAGAAACTGGACTAATAAAGACTTTTCACATTGACTTTTGTGTATTGCCCAAGGCTGAGTGAGGAGAAAGGAGGAAAAGAAGCAAGAATGACACATATAGGCCATTTCCTAATCTGTGTGCTTGCTTGTTTGCCACAGGGAAGCATCACCCGGCAAGTGAGGTGCAGCATGTGATGGAGTCGGAGAAGGTAGCAAAAATCCCAGTTGTGCATGAATATGGCCATGATCATTCCAGGCTGCACGCCTACATTGGCGTTTCCCTTGTCCTTGGCTTTGTCTTCATGCTCCTGGTGGACCAGATAGGCAGCTCCCATGTGCACTCTGCAGATGGTAAGTAAAGATTCACTTTAATTATACTTGCTAACAAGTATTCTTTATTAAGAAGATGCAGTTTTTTCCAAATGCTGCTGGGGATTTAATGTGACCAGTCATATTTTTGGTCTCTTTTAAGAGAGGAGCTGCTTTTCAGTCGCTGGTGTACAAGTGTAATGCAGGGTGTGTGCGAAGTGCTTGTGCTGCAATATCTGTCCTGGAATCCAGACAAATTTGAAAGTTTGCTTTGCTAATACGAAGTAACTGCAGAGCGCATACAGTGTGGGGATGGAGAGTGACTTGACACTTGTTTTCTGTTTTACAGTATCACCCATAGGGGATTTCCTTGGCTTTCCAAAAAACCTTCACATTAGTCTTATCTTCCTTTGTGTTTTGGTTTTTCCCCCTACTTAATTGTCAAACGTTGAGATAAAAATTGCAAAGAACAGAAAGTTGTCTTAAAGACTGGAAGCATTGAATCGATAGCTAAATGTAAACTTTCATTTGTTGTACCTGCCCAGCTAGGTCTCACACCAGGCTACAGGCTCACCATGTCATGCAAAGAGCACAGGTGTCTTAACTTCATTGCAAGTTTCTTGAAATGGCTACAGTTGACCTTTTTTTCCTGCCTTTGCTTGTGGCTTCGATGTCAGTCTGTAGGTTGACATGATTTAAGAGGCACTATCGCCAAGAGCTAGTTATTGCCTCTGACTGCTTGTTCTCTCCTATGTGATCTTCTCTGATGGCATCTGGCCTCCAAAACTAGGTAACTGTTGTAGATGAAGAAATAAAACAATAAAGGGAGGTATTTGTGTTTTAGTCAGCTCCGTGGCAGTTCACCGTGCAGCTGTGCCTATGCCTGTATGGGGTCAGAGTGGTGGGAAGGATGAGAGGCCAGTGCAAGGGCTGTTTCTGCTCGAGGTGCTGGGGAAGGTACTGGCTAGCTCATTTTCACAGATTTTCAAAGAAAAGCTCGGCACATAGAGGTGGCAGGGCACGTGAATTATCAACAATCAACTGTGTGCCGATTGCGACTATTTACAATACAGAATAAAATTGACTGTTTTTGTTGGACTGTTAGAGGTACGTGCTATAAAATAGGGTACTAAGTACAGTTTTATCTGGCCTGCATCTCTGACACAGGAAACGCGGTGGTGTTTTAGCAGTTTTTATCAGGAAGGTTTAAGAAATTTCCTTTCCTCATTTGGACCAATGCCTGGTAGTTTTATGGGTACCTGGTGATGGGAAGAGGGCAACCAGAGGACAGGGTTGGACATCAGGAAAGGAGCAGGACTTTCTGGCAGCAGTACAGGTTTGTCAGTATGCTTGCAGTCAGCTTTTTGAACACATATAATATTACTATCCTACACTATAATTAAATAATAACTGTTCAACTGTGTGGAATTAAAGCGTTTCTGATCTCATGCGAGATTTGCTTGTCTCATTCATGTGGTCAGAATAGTTATCAAACAATTGCAGACAAGTCACTTGATCTAAAACAACTCTGGCTGTATTTCTTTCTGGGGTGTATAAAGTTGAAGGGAAATCTTTGCAACTCATGACAACAAATAGAATTTAAAGCCTGCTAAGGAATTGCGGTAGAACCAGGGTAATGGAGGCTGCCCAAGGTTATCCTGTGAAGGAAAAGACCGAAGTTAGGCTATATGGGCAAAATAATCCAGGACTTTGCAAGTAGCTCTGGATGCTGGTTATGGAAAACTTGCATTTTCTGCCCTTGGTAGCCCAGAACTGGGTTTTAGGAAGTTAAGAACAAGAACTGTAGCTGCCTATGGCAATGACCCTGTAAACTACAAAGACTAGTCTGTGATCCTGCATCTTTTTGCTGAAGGAACTTTAAGTGATTTGGTAGTGTTAAGTATTGAGCTATTTTATAGTAAATCTAGTGCAGAAATGCAGAAGATGGATTGATTTGGAATTCTTATTTGAGTAAGCTTCTTATCACACCTAGAGAATCCATGCAATGATATGGTATAAATTTTGTTTCACTTTAGTTTGTGTATTTGCTCTCCTTAATCCTTAATTTCTTAATGACCATTTCAGATCCAGAAGCTGCAAGATCAGGCAATTCCAAAATCACCACAACATTGGGATTAGTAGTCCATGCTGCAGGTAATGCGGGGCCTGCTACTAGAATTTGGGAAAGACTTCTGAGCTGTGCGACTTGACTTTAGCTTATGGAAATATATGCATTTTTGAATTGTATTATCATTAACATGTAAAGAGAGCCATGAGGTGTGGTTAATGTTAAAATATACTACATTGTACATCTTTATTAAGCTTCAAGTAACTCTTTAATAGTATCGATGCAGATTTAAACAGCTTCCAGAACCTAGAGGGCCCCTCTATGGTTTAACTGTTCAATTAAGGGTTATGCAGAGGTGGTTTTGAAGGCTGTCAGCTTTTGCTTTTATAACAAAGCAAAAGAGGAAGTGAGGGAAAGCTATTTTTTTTTTTTCCCCAGGACTTTATGGGAAAACATACTCCAGTACTCAGAACTTTCTGTGCTGATTTTATACTAGTACAATGTTTTCCTCTATTTCTCCTTTGAAAACTTGCTGTGTGATGCTCACTGTCTCCCTCTCCTGTTCCTCTGCTGGCTGCTTTAGCTGTTACTTTCTAGTATGTGCAAATACACGTTTGATATGTATTGTGAAGCCCCTTTGGGTCTGTGATGTCAGTTGAGCTGCAGAGGGTGGTTGTCTTGGTTTATATTAACTTTTGCAGCTCTCAACCCTTGCACATATTACAGTCAACACAAATTCATTTTGTAATTCTTCATTTTATATATTTATAAGTATAATGCTTTATAATTGAAATAACATATTTTGATCAAAATCTTAGGTCCTACATCATAACTTACAACAGGGGAAATTTAAAAGTATTTATGTGTACAAGACTAATAGAATCCATTTCCTATTTCGTGGGTATAATATCCTTGTTAAATGGTATAAAATATTTTAGATATTCATTTGAAAAAGGTAGTAGCTCAAGCCCCTTTAATATAGAGAATTTAGAAAGGAAACAACTTCTACAAAGAAGACTAAAATTACTAAACTGATTCTGCCTTCTCAGGATGTGTCAATACTAAGTAGATTCTTATAGAAAATGAGACAGCTTCTGCTGAAGGCTGTCTGAAATTTTGAGGTGGTCATGGTTTAAGAAGCAAAGGGGAGTGAATGATATATTGGGCTGGTGGTATTAATGGCTTTTTGGGTAAGAGGACCTTTTTGAGTCAGCATGCTTGGTGCTGTTAGCCATTGAAAGAAATCTGGAAGTTACCTGGATGAATAATGCGTGAACTTGCCCTCCTCTTTCAGCTGATGGTGTTGCATTGGGTGCAGCAGCTTCTACTTCCCAGACTAGTGTCCAGTTAATAGTGTTCGTTGCGATTATGTTGCACAAGGTAAGTCATGATCCAAATGTCTGTTATTTAAAGGCCTCTTAAAGGATATAGAAGTTCATAAAGATCTAAGTTCCTAGTGATGCAATATGGAAGTGTTTTATATCATTGAAAAGAACAGAGTAGTTGTACCGTGTGCAGGATATGGGTACACTGGGATAATATACAGCTGCATATCAAATGGAGGATGTAAGCTCTGAATGAGGTGAGGAGGAGAAATGTTCTTACTGCCCATCTTGGAAGAGTGGTTTATTAAGAAGAGCAGCACCTTTGTGCTAGGTTTTTCTGAAGGTAGTCAAACAAAAAAGAATCAGATGATTCTTTCTGTTCCAGGAGATGTATTTGAAGGAGTTCTGCAGGGTGAACCACAGAGGCATATCCTAGTGTATTTGTTCCAAGGAAAAAAAGCAGCTTTGCCCTGTTGATGGCAATTCTTGCCTTTGTGTGACATTCCCAAGAATATGGGGAAGATAGGCATTTTATTGTTTACAGGGTTCGTTCTTTAAAGTCTCATAATATCAGAAATATAGAAAAGCTTTTAAAACATTTTTCTGGTGATAACAAGCAAGCACTGACTTTTGAAGTTAGAAGGTTGTTCTCTGGGGTTTTGTGTTTTTTGTTGTTGTTTGTTGTTTTCTTAAAACATTCCTACATGTATGTATGTTAGCTTAGTTCCTAAATATTTCATGAGTGGCTATATGGCAGCACATGCACCTATTAAAGTAGTTTATCACACATTCCTCTAAAATATTTTTTACCTAATTGCATGTCCATAATGTTAGGAAATCAAGATCTTACTAGATCTTATAGTTGTTTTTTCAGTGATATTTTTTTCTTTTTTCTTTTTTTTTTTTTTACAGGCACCAGCTGCCTTTGGCCTTGTTTCCTTCCTGATGCATGCTGGGCTGGAACGGAATCGAATCAGAAAACACTTGCTGGTCTTTGCGTTGGCAGCACCTGTTATGTCCATGGTGACATACTTAGGGCTAAGCAAGGTAGGTCTGTGACTTAGTTTTGCTCAAAATGCAGCTTAGCAGTAGAGTTTGAAGAAACAAGTATGCCAAACTGTTTTAAAAAATCAGCAGAATGGAACTAGGTTTTTAATTTTATTTTTTATATTAAAAAATAGATAAAAATGATAGCAATATGTTTGTACAAAACAGAAAAATAGCCCTTGCCTTCCATCAGAACCAATTTTCTTCACCATCCCAGAATGGGTTGTCTTGTCTTCAAAGGTTCTTTTACCTTGTGTTAAAGGTTAAATCGTCTGTGCTGTAGAGGCTGTAGAACAGCCTTTTTGCCTCCCATGCTCCTCCTACATCATAGTTTTAACTTGTCTGTATACAGACAGTAGCCTGTGGAATGAGCAATGACATGTGTTTATCATTCATCCAGAGTTTCTTCCTCTTGTTGCATTTTCTAGGCCACTTCCATAGTTATAACTGCTGTAGGTTTTGCTGGTGACCACACTGTGAAGTTCTGTATAAGGAATCTAAAGTGTATCATTAAACTTAATGCAGGAAGAGACAGATTAAGTAAAGTATCTATGATAATTCCCTTACTTTCTGTAAAGGAGTTTATATCTGGTACTGCAGTGTATGATGTGATAGAAAGGGTTGGTTGGGTTTGTAAGTAGAAGTCAGATTGGTGTTTGAGCACTTGCTTAATGCAGGCTGGCCGAGAGTTTGTTTTGTACTTCAGAAAGAACAGAAATGGTAAGACATAAAGGCTGCCACAGTGGTCGTATAGCTCTAGGTAGAGGATATTAATCTCTGGAAATGTAACTGAAGAGCTATCCCACTGAAGTAAATTCACACTGAGTGGGAGATTAAGAAGCTTTTTGAAACTGATATGAACAGTGTTGCATTTCATTACACTTAATGATAGGGTGATCTTAATCCTAGTGTGAAAGAGGTGCTCAAATTTTTGATTTGGAAGATCCTATATTTTTAAAAAAGCTTGTAAGGAAATATTGGGAAGTATGTGGAGTTTGCTTATATAAACAAATGAAATGTAAAAGTGTGATTGTTTGGGGCTTAGGTTTATCAAAACTTGCATCAGCTTCCAGGGCACTAGATCTTTAAAGGCTAACAGCTTATTTAAACTGTTATTGTTTGAAAAGGGGAAAAGTCAGCCCCAAGTGTTCTTTATAATGAGTCCTTTATAAGTTTTGTAGCTTTCTAATCTGACTTTCATGCTTTTAAAAATGGCTTTTGGCTTATCTGTTGTTTCTACATAAACTCGGATATGGATTCCTGGAGGTGTGAAATGAACTAAGTATAAATAAGGATACCTCTCTTCATGTGCCCCCAGTCAGCAGTGTCAGTTTCTACTTGAAAGGTGCTAAACTTTAAACAGCAGTTTACATTCTTGTCATTGCAAGAGAATGAGTTGATGGAAATCCTCCTGCCTGTGTCTTCACAGAATTCTCATTATTGCTTGAAGAAGTTCTGCGTAGCCTCATTCTTGTTCTTTCTTTTTTTCTTTTTTTTTTTTTTCTCCATTCTCAGAGCAGCAAAGAAGCCCTTTCAGAAGTCAATGCCACCGGAGTTGCAATGCTCTTTTCTGCTGGGACTTTTCTTTATGTTGCAACAGTTCATGTCCTCCCAGAAGTGGGAGGCATTGCTCACAGCCACAAACCTGAATCAACTGGAGGAAAAGGACTCAGCCGTCTGGAGGTGGCAGCCCTAGTCCTAGGATGCCTTATTCCTCTAGTTTTGTCCATTGGACACCATCACTAAACACTTGGAATTCACCGTTCTCCTTGATCTCCTTCATCTGACCTGAGCAGTAAATGTTGACTGCTCCCTTTGTCATTGTCTGTCTTACCATCATCCATCCCATCTACTTTTATGGAGTTCAGAGGGAAGCTTGACTGCAAAATGAGGAATACTGGGAAAGTTTTTAGTGTAGCAAAATGTGCTCTGGCAGCCGGACATTAATACTGTGTAACTTTTTTTTTTTTTTTTTTTTGAAGACATTGCTATTTTAATTGTTATTCTGGCCCTATTCTCAGGGAAGATGGAATTTGGAGTTTAAGGTGAGTGGGGAAGAACTTAGTGGCTCATCATGAAATTGCAATTACCAAAGTATCCTGCAATTCAGTTTTCACAGATGATTAAACAAAAAAAAAAAAAAGAAAAAGCAAAGGATGGCTGCCTTTTAGGAGGTCAGAAGTCTTCTTACTAGTGAAGTAGGGGCTCTCCCCATTGGTTTTATATTGTCCTGGCAATGCGATTGTTTTTGTCATGTTTGTCACAAGCAGTATTGCAGAGGTGACTTGCACTTTGGACAACGCTGCCGTTGTGGCAGAAGTATCACTGGTAGGAAATAAGTGCTGGAAAAAGTGTACTGTTAATATAGGAAATGAGAATTCAGCTTGGTTAAGTACAAACAAGTTCTGCAGTGTATTCCATACAAAGACAAGGGATAGAAGTGAAAAGAATGTTATTTTGATTGTTTGTGCAGTTATTAGTAACCTTGAAAAGGCAGAACATCTTGGAAGATGATCTTTCACTGAGTCAATAAAGTGTAGGCACTAAAAAAGTTAGCAGAATTTAAGTATTTGGTACTGTGATTACACTGCTGCTATGCTTGAGAAAGAAATCCACAATGTCTTTTGAAATCAAGCGGTTCTGTGCTCTAAGGAGTAGAAATCTGATGGAAACAGCTGTTGAGGGACCAGGGAACTTTACTAGCTCATCTTTGAACCACAGAAATCAGCAGGGTATGTGTTTTTTTTTTTTTTTAATCTAAATAAAAAGTATTAAGGCTAACAAAACAAGATCTTTGGTTAAATATTTATGTTGCAGATAGGGTACGAAGTGAATCTAAAGCAGTTCTAAACAAAACAAACTGTTGGGTTTTTCAGGGGACACATTAGGAATTTCAATTTTCCTTTGGGAATCCTACATTCACCTCTGATTAGTGATCACTAGTTTTGATTAATCTTCTTGAGGATTTACTGCAAACTGCTCTTGCCTTTCACTGTAGATGGGTGATAAAACATCCTTTCCAGGCACAGCCTTCTCTTGTCAGGCATCTTTTTCTCTCGTTCAAAACATTATGCTCTAAACTGTGATGCATTAAAAACCCAGTGATGCTTGACATGCAAAGATTCAAGACACAATTCTTTTTTGGGGGAAGGGAGCGGGGGGGGTGAACCTTTTAATTCTGTGCCCATGCTAAGCTATATTCTATCTGCACTTTTTAAAGTAATGTTGCCAAATATTTTTCTGTTCTTAATTTTTATTATTTGAAATGAAGCTTCCAAGCTTGAATAGTTGGTTTCCTGAAGCGCTTATTGTTGCCACTTGAATGTGTCTTTTTTTTTTTTTTTTTTCTTTTTCCTAATGCCATTTATTACTTATCCTACACAGGCCATGGTGCCTCTTACTTTTACATTTCTGTCACTGTTCTCTTCGTCCATTAGTTCAGCAAGAGGTATTGGCTTGACTTCTGGGCTAGCGAGCGCTCTGTTTGCTTTGTAACAACACAGATGTACCACAAGATTGAACTTGGTAATAATCCCTAAAATTGCTTGCTTGTTTCTGTGTTTTTGCTTTGAAATAGGTGAATTTTAAGATTAACGGAAATGGTTATAATATATATTCTCCCCCAAGATAATATTTTCAAATAAAATTAGTGTACAAGGTCTAAACAAGCTGCTTTTGACAGTAGCCTTCCAGAAATAATTTTGTCCCGGAAAGCCCCTGCAGGAATACTGCCGGAGAGGAGATCCCCTCCGGCCCGTTGCAGTTGCTTTTATGCCCTACGTGTGCAGCTCACGAGTCCCCTGTTAGAAAGGTGAGTGCTGCCGGTTACAGAGCTCCCAGGGCTCCCCCTCTTCGCCCTGATTATGTCCTTCATGATCTCACTGTCTTGTTCACAGGAATTGCTAGGTCTGCTGTAGAGGCGTCTCTGTTCCGAGGAGATGCTTACCTCCCATGGAACAGTTACTTTTTTAAAGTGCATTATCTGCTCCAGTATCCAAGTCAAGTCATTTTTCTTCCCACTATACCTGAGACAGTTTTTATTGCAGGGTTTTTTTGTTTTTGTTTGTTTGTTTTTTCTTGAAAAACAAGCCAAAGATGATAATGCTGACTTGCAGCAGCTTGTAAAGTATCTGCTTTAACCTTAGTTTTTCTATAGGAGACTATGCTCCCTTCGCTTTTTTTTCCCCCCACCTCTCTTATCAGAATGATATTCTAACCATCATTCATCCTTTGCACATGCACCTCCCTCTGACGCTTCCCCAGTTAAGCCAGCACTTAAACTTGCTGCCCACTGAACTGCTGGCATGTTAATCATAACAGGTTCCTTTGAGAGGTCTTATCTCTTGTTTGTCCCACCCCTCAGATCATGTTTCCAACTTTTGGGACAGCCACCAGAACTGCTAGTACTCGATTTAATGATTTATGAGCTTGAGAGACCAAGTTGCAATAGCAGTCAGAGGTTTTAAAATGAAAACATTGATAGCTTAAAGTTGGCACTAAAAAATTCCAGTGAGCTGTAGTTTTCATTTTGGCACACAGGTTCTGTGGACTTCTTTTCCTGTCCCTGTAGAGGTAGTGGCAATATTTGCTAGTATTTAGCTAAGGAAGCCTTTGACTATCTGATAATAGTACAAAATTTCCAGTGACCAAACCCTTCCCAATTGTTAGTTCTACGTGGAGGATTATTTTCTTCAAGCATGGAATTTTAAAGAGTTAAAATATTTTATTATATTCCCTTTTTATCTATTCCCCATCTGTCACAGTAAATCCAAGCTCTTCATGTAGCCAGGGCCATCTGGTGTCATTTTCTACTCCTCAGGGGACCTTGGTGCAGACAAATTCTTCTTGCTCTCCCTGTTTGTAGTAGCCACCTCTGCCTGTGCTCTCTGCTGTGAGCTAGTGGCAGCAGGTCTAGCAGGCAGCACAGCAAGTGCCAGGCGTTTTTCTCCCTCTCTTTTGTAAATCCCTCCAGTAGGAAATCTCTAATTGCCTCAGCTGTTTTTAAGTTCCTCAGTTCTTAGTGGGCAGTAGGAATTGGGCTAAGGCTGTTTCTCAATTCCAGTGTGTCCTCTCTAACTTCCCTACTGTTCTTTGTTCAATTCCAGTGTGTTCGGCTACTTTACTTACCTCTCTAACTTCCCTACTGTTCTTTGTATAGAAAAGGGAAATACTTCTTTTTCAGCACCTATGACAGATGCAGAAGCTGATCTAAAATCACTTGGATGAGGAAGGCAGAGCTGTTGCAGCAAGACGGGTGTTTTTGATAACTGTTCGTTGTCATGTCAGGTGGCCGAGTGGTAGGCACAGAATCTCCCGTTTGGCTTCTGCATTTCAGAGAACTGTTCCTGGGTGGACTGTGTACAAGGGTAGCGTTGTTCAAAATGCCCAGGAAGGCCACCATGTCTATTCAGAGGCTTGCTCAGAGCCTGCTGGTGCCTTCAAGGAGGTCTTGGCAGCAGCTGATGTGTCTGTGATCAGCTTTGCTCAGAGCGAAAGGGAGATGCTGTGGGATCAGCATTGCTGCTGCTCCCTTCTCCCTGCTTTGCACAGGGACCTGTGGAGGAGAGGATGAAGCACATTCTTCCCGGGGCAGGCAGAACCCTTGCGGTGTGTTGGGAGAGCCCACGATGAATTTCGGATTCCTGTTCACCGCAAACTTCTTATTTAAAAAAAAAATCTTGTTTCTTTTTATTACATCTCAGCATCCTTGGCTTTCCAGGGAAAACGTTACATGGTCTTTGCTGTTTACTTAACTCCATGTATGAAACTGTAATTTTAGTATCTTGTTTTCCAAACCATTTGTACACAAAATCATTCCATGAATGGCTGCCTTATAATTTTTCCACTTTAATTGTGAATGGTTAAAATAATGTTGCAGTTTTTGATTTGTTTTATTATATTAAATTTTTACTAGGTGCAGTGCTTCAGAGTTGGCTTCTCATTTACTGCTGGGGTTTTGGCAGCTCCTGTCAAAAGAAGTGACAATTTTAAATGGGATGTAGTTATTGCAAGCAGTGCATCTTAATTTTTTCCATAGGTGTTTGTGCTGCTTCTCTCCTAGTGTCTGAGTACCCTTTGGAAATGAAACAATGAAGCTGTTGGGAATGCAGATCTGGATTTAAGAATGAGTGATTTAGAGGTATGAAAAGGGGCTTGGCAGTTCTGCATGGGAGGTATTTGGCAGTTCTTTACAATATTGAAGAGCTGGCATTGCCTTGGGAAAGGCTTTCTGGGTAAATGGAAATCTAACCTTTGCCTACAGGGTGGAGACCTCTTTTTGAGAGCCATTAGGAGCTGTGTGGCTCAAGGCTGCTCCAGGCCACTGCTGGAGGGGAGATGGGGAGAGGTGGAGAGAAAGCAGCCTTGCCTGCCTCCAGCTAAATCCTTGATCCTTTGCCCAAAAGCAACATGCAAATACTAAATTCATTATTTGCAGCCTTTGTAATGAAGCAGCCCTTTGTGCAGATGTGCACATACGAAAATAACTAAACATCAAGATGTGAGTTTCTGTGCTTTGGAGACAGCTTGGCACAGCTCTGTTTTCCTTGTGACCGCCACATGGTCCTCCTGTTCACATGTTCACAGCTCTCCAGTGCTGCTCCTGACCTTTGCTACCACACATTTCATTCCTCGAAAGCAGCGGTTCAATGAAGTTAAAACCTTTGTTGGTCTGTAACTACACAAGTTTCCCCTTTAAATGCTACTAGCGTTGGCTGTCATAACTGAGAGCAGGTTGTGTTTTCCTGTGAAGAAAGAAATGGCCTTCTTGCTCTCCTGATATTTTTATGTTATTATTGACGGGTTTTACTTGCTTCTGGTATCATTTTGAGCTGCAAAGCATAGGTGCAAATACATTCAACAAATATTTTTATTTACTTTATAAGTGGTCTTTGTCAAAGAGGCTCTCGGGCAAGGGATTTGGGTAAAACTTTGGAAATGGGTTCTGTTCTCTTGCCTTGCAA